GTGTCTCCATTCTGCCTAAGTTATGACCATATCTCTGTTCTGCCCTGGGGATCTGATCATATAGTTCCCTGTCTTAGATCCCTGGACCCAATTCCCTGCTTAGGGATCCTCCTTTGTTATAGGCTTAATGTTTGTGTCTCCACAGAATTCCTATGTTGAAACCTTAACCCAATGTGATGGTATTTAGAGGTGGGGCCCTTAGAAGGTAATGAAGTCATGAGGGTAGAGCCCTCATGAATAGGATTAGTACCCGTATAAGAAGAAGAAGCCAGAGGATCCAAATCACTCTTTCTGCCACGTGAGGATGTAATGAGACATCAGCCATCTGCACCCTCACCAGAACCCAATCATGCTAGTACCCTGATCTTGGACTTCAGCCTCCAGAACTATGAGAAATAAATCTCTGTTGCTTACAAGCCACCTGGTCTATGGTATTTTGTGATAGTAACTTAAACTTGAAGATATTCTTCAAGATGCTATCTTCAAGAATGTATTTAGATTGTGTTGCCAACTGTCTGCTATGACCAGTTCTTCAAAATGGAGAAAAGTTAATAAGTTTGTGGGGAAAGATCCATGGTTAAATGCCTTTGAGAAATCCTTATCAGAAAGGGCTTACAGGTCTCTTCATGGCAAACCTTCCCAGAACCTGTCATAGGCCTCTAAGAGGAAGGAGAAACAGGTAGGTTTCCTTAACAACCCACATGGAGGCCAGGCATGGTGGCTCAAACCTGTAACCCCAGCACTTTGGTAGGCTGAGGTGGGCAGATTGCTTGAGTCCAGGAGTTCAAGACCAATCTGGGTAACATAGTGAGTCATCTCTATTAAAAGTTAAAAAAAGGCCGGGCGCGGTGGCTCAAGCCTATAATTCCAGCACTTTGGGAGGCCAAGGCTGGTGGATCACGAGGTCAAGAGATCCAGACCATCCTGGTCAACATGGTGAAACCCCGTCTCTATTAAAAATACAAAAAATTAGCTGGGCATGGTGGCATGTGCCTGTAATCCCAGCTACTCAGGAGGCTGAAGCAGGAGAATTGCCTGAACCCAGGAGGCGGAGGTTGTGGTGAGCCAAGATCGCGCCATTGCACTCCAGCCTGGGTAACAAGAGCGAAACTCCGTCTCAAAAAAAAAAAAAAAGTTAAAAAAAAATCAGCCAGGCGTGGTGGCATGTGCCTGTAGTCCCAGCTACTTAGGAGGCCAACGTGCCTGTAGTCTCAGCTACTCAGGAGGCCAATGTGGGAAAACTGCTTGAGCCTGGAAGGTTGAGCTGCAGTGAACTGAAATCATGCCACTGTGCCACTGTACTCCAGCCTGGATGACAGAGTGAGACCCTGTCTCAAAAAAAAAAAAAAAAAACACACACACACACATGGAGGGTGTGCCTCAGAACCCTCAAGAGCCTGCGGAAGACACAAGTGTCTGAGACCAGGGAACACATAGTCCACCTTTACCTCTGGACACCTTGGTCTTTGTATTCTGTTGCCAACTGTCCACTATGACCATGGGGACTGGCTCTGTGCCTATAGCAGCTTCTCAGCATCACTCAGGACAAGCAAGAGCCACAGATTCTTTTCCTGGAAGACCAGCAGTGTTCATAGGAGGACATCCCTACCTTTGCTTTCCCAAACAGCAGACCAAAGAGCTTCCACACAGACCATGACTAGAATGAGCTCTTGCTTTTGACCTTGGCAAACATACGAGGGCTTTCTTCCCCAGAGCATCTTCTGGGCATTGAGAGTGGCACCTGGCAGCTCTCATCACAGTCCCTCTTGACTGTCAGCACTCAAGCCTCCCACCCACAGGCCCCAGGCCTCTCCTGGCTAAGGTGGAGACATCAGGGGGCTCAGACTCTCCCATGGGACTGGGTTTCTGCAATGCTGCAGAGTGGGCACTCTGGCTAGGTCCATGGGGCCACAGTCTATCTCCCCTCAACCCGACCATGTTGCCACACCTGGTCATCTGCCCTTCACAGACCTCTGGGAACCCTCCTCAGATTCCTACCACAGAGGGCGAGCTCATTCAGCCTCTCATCTACAATTTGAGTAAGTGGCACTGAACTCTTGGCCTATTCTCTCTGAGAAAAGTGAGCACCCAATATGTTGGACAACCAAGTGTTGTCCAAGTTATCAAGGAGGAAGCTCTCTTATTGGAAGCTTTCCCGGTGTTGAACTTAGTGCTAGGATTCAGGGTCTCAACCAGCCATCTGCCTGGCCTATAGGTCGGCTTTCCACCCACAGAACCTGTAGGGGGCAAGATGGACAACTTCTGAACCCCAATTAGAAGGAGCTCCTCCTTCATAGGTGTCTGTGCTTGGCCAATGCAAAGGCTCAACCCAAGAAGGCAGAAGAGCAACGGGATTTAGCGTCACTGGCTTTCATGCCAGTCTCCTGGCCTCTCATGGCAGGTCTTCTACTTAGCATCTCTGAGGCAGTGTTGCTTCAGATCTTTTGGCCTCAATTTCTTCTTCTGTAAAGTGAAAGTAAGTAACACCTACTTCACAAGGACCAAATAAATTAACGTTAGCAAAATTGTTCACAGTAGGCACTTTAAACAAATTATTGTCCCAAGTGTGGGCAGGATGTTCTAATCTGCAATCACCTTTGCTACAAGCCTGGGGTCCCTGAGAAGCAAGGTGATGCCAAGCCTGCAGGGGACCCCACTGAGAGTTCCGAGGTCTCTGTACAACTCGGAATTGGTCTCTCATTCTCCGACAACAGACATCAGGGTGCAATCCCAGTGTGTTCTGAACTGAAAAATGTGTAAAATGAAAGGAACTACTTCATCAAGCAAATCAGAACAGCACATGGAGATGTCAAAAATAACTGGGAAAAAGACTAATCAAAAGTAACGTGAGGCCAGGTGTGGTGGCTCACACCTGTAATCCCAGAACTTTGGGAGGCCAAGGTGGGTGGATTACTTGAAGTCAGGAGTTCGGGATGAGCCTGGCCAACATGGTGAAACCCCGTCTCTACTAAATATACAAAAATTAGCTGGGTGTGGTGGCACACACCTGTAGTCCCAACTACTCAGGAGGCTGAGGCAGGAGAATCACTTGAACCCGGGAGGCAGAGGTTGCAGTGAGCTGAGATCGCACCACTGCACTCCAGCCTGAGTGACAGAGTAAGACAGAGTCCATGTGGGGGGCGGGGGGGTACCTCAGAGCTGACCACTGTGCGTAAAACCAGCAGGACAGGGAGCTGGTTTTACACACATTGGTCAGCTCCGAAGTACCCCCACATGGAAACCTTATTCAAGAAGCTAGACAAGAGGCAGTACCCAGAGAGAAAACCAAGGGCTAGAGGTATAGAGTGAGAGTCTTTCAGGGCTAAATGAGAGCTGAATGCAAGACAATGGGAAATGCCCCAGGGCAGGGTCACTTTACAAGAAGAGGAAATGAAAAGGAGAAAGTAAGACACACCCAGAAAGGCTAAGGTGAAACCGGGAGATGGAGGAGCACCCAGGGCAGAAGTTTCCTCAGAGGTCTTTGAAGAATGGCAGAGAGCAGAGACAAGGCAAGACTTTGGGGCTCGCTGATTAGGTGGGTGGCAATAGAGGGGAGGCCAATTTTAGGGAGACCAGGCTGCCCATCTGGAAGCAAGGGAGCATGTGGCCTGCTTGCCTGGTATGGATGCTGGGTCCCAGGGAAGAGGCCTGGATCTTACCCACAACCCTCTCACCCAGATCCTGGGTTTCTGCAGCTCTGCTCACTGCAGCTGTGGAGCTGTGTTGTTTCCTGTGTGGACCGATTTCTGGCTGCCCTAGCAATGGCTGTTTCTTCATACCCTACCTACCTTCTGTTCTCAGGAGCAGCACAAAGAGGACTCCAAGGCTTCCTACTCTCCAAAAAATGTAGCCCACCCCTGGCCTTCAGAAGAAGGCAGACAAGCAGCCTTCGTTCAGGCAAAGACCTGCAAACAAGGCTTGCTTTCAGGGCTGCCTGCTGGCATGTGTTCCGTGGGCTCTCCAGTGGAAAGGGCAGGGCGCTCAAAGACAAATGAGAAAGGGCATGATCCCCAAAGGGTCCCCAGGGTTGGGCTGGGGTGCAAGGCCCGTGGTCACTAGATGGTGATGCCTGGATTTTGATTCTCAATTCTCAAAGGAAGCCAGTGGAAAAGACGTGAAATAAAGTTAGCTGAAGGGTGTTTGGCTCAGACCACACATTTTAAATATGCAAATCTCCTCCTTTCCCTCTCTCCTGCAGGCCCACTGTCCTTCCTGAAGATGAGCAGGAAGTCCTGAAGTTTATAAAAAGGATCTCAGGACTTAACAGTTCAGTGGAGGTAGGGGGGTGGTGGGGTGGAGATAAATGAAACCTATCACTTTGCTATGAAAACTGGTCAAGTAATTTATCTTAATCACTGTGTAATTGTTTTTAGTGTTTTGAGAGGAGACAGGTAACTAAATGACCCAGAAAGGATATCTAATACCCTAAAATGTAATTCCTTCCCACCCTAAAATGTAATTCCTTCCCACACACTAAACAAGCTACATTCAGATTGGAAGGGCCTGTATGAGAAGTGAAGAACTACATCTGCAGAGAGAGTCACCCAGGATCTCTACCCTCGTATGCTGGGCCTTGGGGAAATGTTGGCCAAAGGTTCTGGGACAAATTCTTGTATTACACATCCTCTGCTTATTCATTCAGTGAAGACCACATCCCCTAAGTGCTGGATTCTGAGTTAAGCACCATGGAAACCACAGAGGTCTCATTCTGTGGTAGTATGGCAGGGAAAGGGCTTAGAAGTTAGAGATTTGTGTTTGAATCCTAGCCCTGCCGCTGCCTAGCAACGACATGGAGCAAGTTACTTCAATTCCCTGAGCCTGTCTTCTCAGGTGTGAAACAAAGATAACCTTAGTTACTTCTATGCTCTGGATGTTTATGTCTCCCAAAATTCGTATGCTGAAACTTAATCCCCAATGTGATAGTAGCAAGAGGTGGGCCCTTTGGGAGTTGATTAGGTCATAAGGACTCTGCCCTTATGTATAAAATTAGTGTCTTTATCAAAGAGGCCCCAGAGAGCTTGTTCGTCCCTTCCACCATCTGAGAACACACAGAAAGTGCCATCTATGAGGAACAGGAACTCATCAGACATCAAGTCCACTGGAGCCTTCATACTGGACTTCCCAGGCTCCAGAACTGTGAGCAAGAAATTTCTGTTCTTATAAGCTACTCAATCTAAGCTATTTTTTGTTATAGCAACCTGAAGGGAGTAAGGCAGTTATGTTAAAGGGTTCCTGCACATACTAAATAAAGTCGCATCTGTAAAATGCCAGGTACATGGGGGAGATGTTAAATAGAAGCTGTTGTTACTACAGGTTGGATATCCTTTAACTAAAATGTTTGGGACCAGAAGCATTTCAGATTTCAGTTTTTTTCAGATTTTGAAATATTCGTATTATACTTACCAGTTCAGCATCCCTGATTTGAAAATCCAAAATCTGAAACGCCCCATTGAGCATTTCCTTTCAGCTTTGGGTCAGCATTCAAAAAGGTCCTAATTTTTGAGATTTCAGATTTTGGAATAGGGACGCTCAACCTGTAGAGATTCCTGCTCATTATAACGTGGTAGGAAAGACCAGAGAAAACAACAAATGAAAGATAAAATGTCCTCTTCCTCCTCTGCTAAAGTGCGCTGGAAGGTTAGGAGTGAACAGTATCACATGCAGCCCCCGCTCAGGAGCAAGGAAGGCTCCACAGGGAAGGGACATCTGCTTGAGTAAACAAACACATGGGACAGCAAACCAGCCATTCACCACTGTATCCTCTGCTCGTGTTTCTGTTATTGGGGTCTTGTGCCAGTTAACACCAGCATAAAAGAATTTCTCCCACCTGGCTTTATTCACCCTAGTAAGCAGACACAAAATCCAATTACACACCCTATGATCATAGTTATGGCAGGTCTCTCCTCTGGCGGCCCAAATTGGGCCACAAGCCACTGATCAGAGATTCATAGTTTTGTGTGTGTGCCACAAAATATTGGTTTGTCCATGGCCAGTCCTAAGCTGTTGCTGACCATCAAGCTCACCTAGAAATGTCCGCATCACTGCGGACACAGGCAAGTACTGCTGAATTACAGAGAACAGCATGTCTGCTTCTATTCCTCTCTACTTCCATGGAATTCCATTGATATATATGTGTACGAATATGTAACAACTTGAACAATACTCAAAATAGAGAAAGATTTTTAAAATTCTTTATTAAACCAAACTAGTTATAAAAGATTGGCATTTACTTTAGTAATGTCTTAGTCTCAAATGCAGATTTCAGCACACACAAAAATAAATATTCATGTCTCTAAATCTATGGGGAGTGCTTGCAAAATGCTTGTGAACTTTATCGAATTTCAAAGACTACCAAAGGCTTTAACAAAAAATTTTGCACCTAAAGCAAAGTTTGAGTAGAAACACATACGTGGGAGCCAATGACTAGATTTGCCAACTGACATTCTCAACGTTAGCCTATATGTAAATTTACAGATCTCTAACTTTCAACCGTGGGCACTTGAGCCCCTTGTAGGCTAGCCTCTTTCCTCCCAACTCTGAGTCCAATTTGAAGAAGTAACATGTGGGCACTGTGACTCGAGCCTGTAATTCCAGCAATTTGGGAGGCCAGGTGGGTGGATCACCTGAGGTCAGGAGTTAAAAACCAACCTGGCCAACATGGTGAAACCCTGTCTCTACTAAAAATACAAAAAATTATCTGGGCATGGTGGTGGGCACCTGTTATCCCAGCTACTTGGGTGACCGAGGCAGAAGAATTGCTTGAACCTGGAAGGTGGAAGTTGCAGTGAGCTGATATCGTGCCATTGCACTCCAGCTTGGGTAACAGAGACTCTGTCTCAAAAATAGTTAAATAAATGAAGGAGTAACACTCAGTTTCCTCAGGAAGCCCAAGTCATCTCAGGTATCTCTGCACAGCACAGCACAGCAAGGCTCACTAGCTCCTAACAGATCCAGCCCAGCAGAACCAGCGACTCACACCACCTCTAAGGTGATGGCTGGTCTTGACTGGATGCCACCCAGGACTCTGCTCTCTCCCCACACCCATCTCTCCAACAGGCTTTGGGTCGTTTCAGGGCTGTGACCGGAATTGTCACAGCATCATGTCTAGCACATTGTACTGGTCAGAGCAGTGACAGGTCCAAGAGAAGGGGAAACAGAGCCTTCCTCTTGATGGAAGAGGGGCAAGGTGACATTTCAAAAGAGCAGGGGATGACAGATATTGTTGCTCTACCTTGGAAAACCTCTGGCCTGAAGCATGGTTGCAGGAATGCTCAAGAGTTTAGGCAGAAAGGCAGCTTCAGGCGGACACATACTTCTCTGTAGACCCTTTCTTTCTTTCCTTCCCTTCCCCCACCCCCCCCCCGCCCCCCACTTTCTTTCTTCTTTGTCTTTTTTTCCTGGAGTTTTGCTCTTGTTGCCCAGGCTGTAGTGCAATGGCAGGGTCTCGGCTCACTGTGGCCTCTGCCTCTCAGGTTCAAGTGATTCTCCTGCCTCAGCCTCCTGAGTAGCTGGGATTACAGGTGTGTGCCACCACTCCTGGCTAATTTTTGTATTTTCAATAGAGGCAGGGTTTCACCAAGTTGGCCAGGTTGGTCTCAACTCCTGACTTCAAGTGATCCACCTGCTTCAGCCTTCCAAAGTGCCGGAATTATAGGCACTATGTGCTCAGAGCACATAGGAATTCTTTGGGTGAAGTCCCCACAGCTGTTTGCCTCTCCTGGGAACCATGAGGCCAGTATTTAGGTTTTTTTCTAACTCTGCTTCTCTCTCTGCCTTAAGAACAAGTCACTGCTAGCAAGCAGTTTCCAAGGTCCCTTCAAACTCAAACAATCTATGAGGATCAATTCTCCTAAGAAAGTGTCAATGGGTGGTCACAGTGGCTCATGCCTATAATTCCGGCACTTTGGAAGGCTGAAGCAGTTGGATCACTTGAAGTCAGGAGTTGAGACCAACCTGGCCAACTTGGTGAAACCCTGCCTCTATTAAAAATACAAAAATTAGCCAGGAGTGGTGGCACACACCTGTAATCCCAGCTACTCAGGAGGCTGAGGCAGGAGAATCACTTGAACATGAGAGGCAGAGGCCGCAGTGAGCCGAGACCCTGCCATTGCACTCCAGCCTGGGCAACAAGAGCAAAACTCCAGGAAAAAAAGACAAAGAAGAAAGAAAGTGGGGGGCGGGGGGGGTGTGGGGGAAGGGAAGGAAAGAAAGAAAGGGTCTACAGAGAAGTATGTGTCCGCCTGAAGCTGCCTTTCTGCCTAAACTCTTGAGCATTCCTGCAACCATGCTTCAGGCCAGAGGTTTTCCAAGGTAGAGCAACAATATCTGTCATCCCCTGCTCTTTTAATGTCACCTTGCCCCTCTTCCATCAAGAAGAAGGCTCTGTTTCCCCTTCTCTTGGACCTGTCACTGCTCTGACCAGTACAATGTGCTAGACATGATGCTGTGACAATTCTGGTCACAGCCCTGAAACGACCCAAAGCCTTCCGTTTCTGACTTGTCAGAGTCTGAGATACCATGTAAGAAGCCCAGCTACTCTTCCAAATAGAGAAGCTACATGGAGCAGCCACTCCAGGGCACCACCTTGGATGTCCATTTGCCATCAGGTTGCAACTACTTGAGAAACCCAAGCAAGAACCACTCAGCTGAGCCCAGTCAACCCACAGAACCAAAAGAGAAAATATCAAATTGTGGTTTTCAACCTCTGAATGTTTTCTGTGATAAAATCTACCCTTTTAACCATTTGTAAGTGTGCACTTTTATTTATTTTATTTTTTTGAAATGGAGTCTCTCTCAGCCGCTCAGGCTGGAGTGCAGTGACACCATCTCGGCTCACTGCAACCTCCACCTCCCAGGTTCAAGTGATTCCCCTGCCTTGGCCACCTGCGTAGCTGGGATTACAGGTGTATGCCACCATGCTCTGCTAATTTTTTTCTATTTTTAGTAGAGGCGGGGTTTCACCACGTTGGCCAGGCTGACCTCAAACTCCTGAACTCAGGAGATCTGCCCACCCCAGCATCCCAAAGTGCTGGGATTACAGGCGTGAGCCACTGCGCCCAGCCTGTAAGTGTACACTTTGGTGGCATTAAATACATTCACATTGTTGTGTAACCATCACCATTATCCATCTCTAAAACCTTTTCATCTTTCCAAACGAAAATTCTGTACCCATAAAACAATTACTCCTCATTCATCTTCTCTCCAGCCCCTGCAGCCACCATTCTACCCTCTGTCTTCATGATTTTGTCTACTCTAAGTACCTCATATAAATGGAATCATACAGTACGTGTCCTCTTGTGTCTGGCTTATTTCCCATAGCATTTTGTCTTTAAGCCCTATCCATACAGGAGCTTACATCAGTATTTCATTTCTTCTTAAGGCTGAATAATATTCCATTGTATGGATATGCCCCATTGTTTATTCACTCATCTGTGGATGAAAACCTCAACATTTTGGAGTAGCTGGTCTGCAGCAACAGGTCACTGGAGCAGCAGGTGATGCAGCCACGGAAAGCAGAGCTGGGTTTCCACAGCAGATGTCAGGACCTGAAGAGTCCACCCAGAACACAGGACACCAGGAACTAACCCTCAGAGCAGGTGAAGTTGGTGACTAACCAGGAAGCCAGGTTGGAGATCCCAGCAGCACTTGTCACAGTGGGCACTGGGTGTCTCCTCAGGTCTCTAGGCTGGGAGCAGCTCCAGCACAGGGGATGATAGGATCTTATTCATGCCTGGATTCTCTGCCCTGGCATAGGCTGAGGGCCTGGAGCCCAATAAATGTTTGGTAAATGTACCTGACACTTCAGCCAGGTTCTGACTCATCCCAGAGTTTTTTACATGCTCCTTGCAAGGCAAGAGCCATGCCCAAGAAAGCATGGGAGACTAGCCGCTTCTGACTGGAAAGGAAAGGGAGAGGAAGCAGCAAAATGACATTCTGTCAGAGAAAAATTCATGGCCAGACAGCTCAGGATCTCCATCAAAGCACGCCCACCCCCAGAGTCAGGCAGGCAGCCACAGGGAGCAGAGGCTTTATTATCTGAAGGTTAGGAAGGTATCTAAGGCATCGAGCTGAGCCTGCAGGATGAGGCCAGGGGCAGGGGCAGAGGAGCTTGGCCTTTAGTCATGGCACAGGCCATGGAAGGTAGGGAAGAGTACTTGACTTTTGAGCTCAGTTGCATATCCCAATCCTGGTAGCATTGGAGCAGTGACCTTCCTTCACTGCAAGAGGACTCAAATTAGTTGCACTCTGTCCCCAAGCCTCTCACCCATTACCACTTTACCCAGGAAACCCCCATAATATCCCAACCCATTCTCCCTGTTGTGATGTTCCACTTGGCCACATAACTAGGGTGCCTGACATAGGTCAGGACACACCAGAGCATAGATGTTAATTCCAAGTTTAAGAAGACTTGTTCTTGACTGACTTAAAGAGTGAATGCCACTCAGATAACAAACCTGCACATGTACCCCTGAGATCTAAAATGATCTAAAAGTTGAAAAAATAATAATAAATACAGAAACCAGTAAAATAAAGACAAAAATAGTTATAAAAATTTTTTTAAGTAAAAAGAAAAGAGTGAATGCCAACCATATAATGCTCACTTGGAGGTTTAACAAAAAGGACTCAAGTTGAATTTCAATTCTGCATTTAGGTTTTCCAGTCCCTAAAGATAAAGTAATTCCTTGAGCAATAACTCTGAAGGCATTTTTCTTTCTTTTTCTTCCAGACATACACCTGAAATTTAGGAACTGCTTAACATGTGGAAAGCAACTATAAACATCAGTGAAAAAATTCAGAAAACAGGAAGTCTGGACTTTGAGCAAACCAATTATCATCCTGAGCCTCAGTTTCCTAATTCATAAAATACAGGATAATATTATGTATTCCCATGGTGTGGCTATGTGCTTTCAAAAGAATACATACATTCTATATTTATTTAGAATTTAGAATATTTATAAATATATATCTCATATATATCTTCATAAGAACAGTTATGTGGGGTTTTCTGGGTTTTTGATTTTTTAAGACAGAGTTTCCCTCTTGTTGCCCAAGCTAGAGTGCAGTGGTGCAATCTCAGCTCACTGCAACCTCCACCCCCCAGGTTCAAGTGATTCTCCTGCCTCAGCCTCCCAAGTAGCTGGGATTACAGGCATGCACCACCACACCCAGTTAATTTTTTTGTATTTAGTAGAGACAGGGTTTCACCATGTTGGTCAGGCTGGTCGCATACTCCTGATCTCGGGTGACCTACCCGCTTCAGCCTCCCAAAGTGCAGGGATTACAGGCATGAGCCACTGCACTCAGCCTATAAATATGTTTAAGATGTATTTATTTACTGAGTGCTTGTTGATAGCTGCTGAATAAATGACTGAATAACCTAAGATTCTGACAAGACTCCCATGTGCTGAGAGCAAGTCTTGCTCCACACTTCAGAATCCGTAACTAGAGCGTCTACTAGATCCTAGAAGCCACCTCATTGCCCAGGGGACCACTGCCCAGCTGTCCCATGTCTTAACAACTGGCTCCCAAGCCAGTACTCTTCCCTCCTGTCTAGATTTATATTCTCCCAATCTGCTCAGCTGGAGTTGGCCTGATCTTGAGGACTAGAGACTACCCCACCACCCCCGCCCACCCCCAGCCGAGTTCCTACCTCCAAACCTGGCACTAGGCTGCTGCTGCCTTTTTTTTTTTTTTTTTTGTGATGGAGTCTCACTTTGTCCACACGGGAGTGCAGTGACGTGATCAGTTTGCTGCAACCTCTGTCCCACAGGTTCAAGCCATTCTCCTGCCTCAGCTTCCTGAGTAGCTGAGATTACAGACGCCTACCACCATGCCCGACTAATTTTAATATTTTTAGTAGAGAAGGAGTTTCACCATGTTGGCCAGGCTGGTCTCAAACTCCTGACGTCAGGTGATCCACCCTCCTCGGCCTCCCAAAGGACTGGGATTACAGGTGTGAGCCACCGCACCCAGACTAGGCTGCTTCTTAAACCAACTGACAAACCAGAACCCTAGGTCCACACTCAGGGTCTCCACACCTTTGATACCAGATGGAAACAACTCATTCCCTCTCCGTGGTTTTCTGAAGCACAGCTCCATGGAAGGTTTGTGGACCATAGCCTCCTCTACATACCCCAGGCCTGGACTCCATCCTTGACCTTCACCTACAAAGGTCAAGGATGGGTTCTTCTACCTCAGGGTGCTTTGGGGAGCATCATGTAAGGTGATGAACTGGAAAGTTTCTTTGAAAAATAGGAAGGACTTGATAAATTCTACTGCTCTTGCTATTCTTTTTAGTTTACCTCAGTGTGGTCTCACTGAGTCTATGGAGGCCTGGGATTATTTCCCGGATAAATTCTTTTGGTACAATGACCACACAGAGGGAAAACAGCTTGCTGCTCTTTGTGACTCCAGTGTTATTAGCAAATGCACTGTGATCTCCAGGACAGAGGCTGAGGAGAAAGTCAAGAAATCTGGGTTCCGGGCTCATTGACTCTGCCAGTAAATTAAGCAAGTCACTAACTTCTCTGGGCATTTTTCTTCATGTACACAAAGGAGCTTTGAAGCCGCCCACATTCCTATTCACTAGGATACCGAGAGGGCCAAGAGTTTGAAAAGAAAAACACTGCACAGTAAAAATGTTGTAGTATTCAGTGGGCATGGAGGGTTGAGAAAGAAGCGATGAAAAAAAAAAAAAGTGAGGCCGGGCGCAATGGCTCATGCCTATAATTCCAGCACTTTGGGAGGCCAAGGCAGGCACATCACATGAGGTCAGGAGTTCAAGACCAGCCTGAGCAGCATGGTGAAACCCCCATATCTACTAAAAATACAAAAATTAGCCAGGCATAGTGGTGCATGCCTGTAATCTCAGCTACTTGGGAGATTGGGGCTTGGGAATCGCTTGAACCTGGGAGACGGAGGCTTCAGTGAGCCGAGATTGTGCCTCTGCACTCCAGCCTGGGCAACAGAGGGAGACCTGTCTCAAGGGAGAAAAAGAAAAATAAAGAAAAAAATGAAAGAGGAAAAGAAACAAAAGACAGAGAAAGCAAGCATTTGGGGTAAAGTGTGAGGCTCTTGAGAAAGCAAGAATGGAAGGCCATGGAAGTTTCCAGCAGAGAGCCTCAGAGTCAGTGTGTAGATTCCATTTACCCCAGGGTCTCCAACAGATGAAAGTGAAATGAAAGCAAAGAAAGTCTCCCATCACCTGAGGTGGCATAAGCATGTACCAGAAGCAGCCGAGGCTCAATCCCATGTGCTTTCACAGCTCAGCTCAGAGCAAGAAAACAGAGGAGGAAATAATAAAGAAGTCCACTACTAAAAATTGTGTCATGGCCCTAGAAAGGCCCTGGCCAAGCCACATCCTGGCACAAGAGGTCCCATTCAAGGAGCTCCACTTTAAGTGGGACATTCAAAGACTAAACAGTTCCCAAAGGCTGGCCACTAGAACATCAGGGAATGCCGAGATCATATCACAAAAGAAGAGCTACGCAATCTGGAAGTATTTACCTAGACCTGATTTGGTAAGGACATGAGAAGCAGAAAAAATACTTTAAGCCACATCTAGTCCAGCCCTCACAATTCAGGAATCCCTAACACAACGTCTCCGATGAGGAATTACCCAGTGCTATGTAATTCTTCCAATGATAGAGACCTCATTACTGTATAAGTGAGTTTATCTCATTATCATGTGGACAAGATTAAACTCTTCTCCTTCCTGTTAACCCCAAATTAACCTTCCTGTTAACCCCAAACTAACCTCTTCTATTTATGCTCTGGGGGACATCAACTAAATCTGAACACTTTTCACTTACCCAACCTTCAAATAACTTGAGACAAACAGCTGGCATTGTTGGCTTGCACTGAGATTTCTGGAAGTCTTTCCTGAGGGCAGGGCACATTTTCAGTGTATCCCTGAAAGCACACTGCCCAGCCTACTTCCATGCTTGTTTCCTGGTGATCTCAGGCCAGCTTTGACCCCACACTACCATGGGACACTGACTGCTGTCCCTGCTTCACTCAGGGCTTCTCATCCTGGCCATGCCCTGTAGCTCTGTGTTTTCTTAACAACTAGGTCTTGGCATCCTGCTTCACTTTAGGCAAACTCTCGTCCATCTCTTGGTCTCATCTTTGCAGCCCTGCCCAGTGCTAAGGCCCTGTCATGAATATGCTCCATGGTAAGGCTTAAAAATGAGAGTCCCAAATTCATGCCACTTAATGAAAAGCAGTGGTCATTTGACTTTAAGCCTAATAATGATTGAAGTCAGAATGTTCAATGGGCGTTAAATATTATCTTTTCTAACATTTCATTTGAGAGATAAGGAAATAAGAGTCCCAAGAGGTGAAATGATTCATTTGGAGTAACATATCTGAGAAGATAAACATGAGTTCTAATCTTATTTTCCAACCCCATATTCTTTATATGGTAGTTAAAAGGAAGCAAGGTTACATTATGCCTCTCTTCTGAGTCTATATTGGAGTAAATTTTCCATAGTTTGTGTGCATGTGTATTCATTCTTTATTTGGCTCAACAGAAACTCACTAAGCATCTACTATGTGCTTTGTAAATATTCTCAGTAAGATTTGAAGTAAGCTTCACATTGGGATCTATGTCTTGGTGTGTGTTCATGCAGTCTAGTGGAAGGTGCATGTGAATTGATTCTTGCATGGCCAGTAGCAGCGGCTCATACTTGTAATCCCAGCACTTTGGGAGGCCAAAGCAGGAGGATCGCTTGAGGCCAGGAGTTCCAGACCAGACTGGGCAACATAGCAAGACCCCATCTCTAAATAATAATAATTTTTCCATGCATTCATTCAACAGCAACAACTGAGAAGTCAAAACTATACTATACACTGCTGCAAATAAAAATACAGTCATAGACCTTTAGCTTAGGGCATTTTCTGTCTAGGAGACAATTCTGAAGTACTTTGTTCATGTGATAAAGCCAAATCCAGGGTTCTGTGAGGACCCAAAGCCAGAGGTCTAATCAAGATTGGCAGAATGATGGTGGCAAGTGTCCATAATTGTGATATGGGGACAAAGCTGCAGGTCCTGGATTATTGCAAAGGCCTCACGGAAGCATGAGCTTCAGAACTAAATCCTGAAGGCTGATATGCTCAGGCAGAACAGAGTGCACAGAGCTGAGTGCGTGTGCAAAGACAGGGAGGCAGGAGACAGCTTGACTAGAAGTAGACAGCCAGGCTGGAGCCAGGAGTTAATGCAGGTGACACAGGGAGAGAGAACCACAGCCAAGTGAGGTCGAAGAAGCCACTCTGTCTCACAACAGAGCTTGATTTTATCCAAAAGAAAATGAGGATGCAGTGAAGAGACTTAAAAGAGACAATAAACAGGATCAAGTCAGAATTTTAGAAAGAGTGAAGGACAGACCATAGGACAATAAAGCCAACGGGCAAGAATGTCAGATAGGAGGCTATGGCAGGGACTCAGGAAAGACAAGGTTGGAAACCTGACAACTCTTTCCCCACATATTTATATTTTAAGTATGAAATATAAGAGGAGAGAAGAAATTGTTTTTCATATACCTCTTTCATGGCATGGGGAAATCTCCCCAGAGCTTTGCAGAACTGCAACATCACCCTTATTGTTCGTTCTCCACAGTGACTGAGTGGCCCCAGAAAGTAATGTCAGCCTTGGCATCATGACCAATTGTGATATGTAGGTGCCTGACACAGAGCAACTTCTCAGTAAGTGGGGGCTGAATGCGTAAGCCACATACGTCAAAAGTGGGTGGAGGTAGAGAAGTCCTAAACAAAGTGAGGTCAGTGCCCAGGAAGCACCCAGAAGTCAAGTCCAAGCAAAGTAACAAATCAGAAGATGGCCGGGCGCGGTGGCTCACGCCTGTAATCCCAGCACTTTGGGAGGCTGAG